TGTTTTGGCCGTAACATTTTTATTACGACCAATTATGGAAAATTGGACATTCAATATGATCGAGACCAGAAGCATGAAGGACGTGTTCGTGGCATTTGAATCAATCGAACTTGCTCAATTGCAAACGACAATAAAAAAGAAGAAGAAGAAAAACATCGATGTACAGAAATTAGCGAGGATATTCGCAGCCGGTGATTCTGATATCGAATCGATATCGTCCGATGAAGAGGTATATTTACATCAAATTATACAACAAGATGATGAACCCGTCGATCAAATTGATCCGGAAAATACTTCGTCATTATGGTGTGCTGTTTCGTCATGTCAAACTCCACGGCGATCAAGTTATTATTGGTGTTAAATGTGCTCAAGATCGTGAACAATATGAAGATGCTTTACCATCGTACTGTTTCGACAGGAAGAATTACTGGCGATTCAAGAAATGAACCTTTTCTCTTTTTCTTCTCTCGTCTTGGTCGTTTATTTTCTTCTCTTTCGTTTTTTTTGTGATAATCACTCGTATGTCTCTCTCTCTCTTCATCTAGTGGTGATATTATGACAGGTTCAGATATTTTTTCGTTATATTCTAGTTTTTTGTTAATTTTTTTCTTTTTCCTCAAGGGGAAGGGTGTTATGATACGAGGTATCATGACATCTATTTTCCTGACTATTTCTTTCTCGTTTCTTTGTTGCCGGTTCTATATATGTTGTGAAATAAATCGAACTAGGCAGTTATGCTTCGATAGTAACATCGAACACACGTCTCTTTCTTTCCATCATCGAACATAACAACCTTTCTCTGTACGAAGTTTCAAGTCAAAATTCGAGAATAAGTTTTTCCATATCCCTGAGGGGGACCACGGTAATCACTTATTTGAATATGCTGATGATACTATATCTCGACAATAACAAAGTTTGGGAAAAAACCATTGTAGGTTTTTTTTATACATAGTCGAAGTCTTCTCTAAGGATCAAAGATGAGCTCAAACGGAGAGTATCATCTGGGATGGTTCCCTCGTTAGCAATGTGAGGTCGGGCATTGTCATGCAAAAAATAAACCTTATCCTGCTTTTCATGAAGTTTTGCTGCAACTCGGCCTAATTGCTGGCCGTAGAGGTCAGCAGTGATGGTGCAGCCAGCTGGAAGAATTTCTCAATGAATAGTCCCTTTGACACCCCACCATACGCTCAACATGATCTTCTTTGAGTGAAGATCATTTTCTCATCGCCAGTAATAAGATTGCCGAGCCATTGGTAGTTGCGATGATACGTCATTAACTGCATACAAGTATCGCCTCTGTGTTGGAACTGATGTGGTGACAGATCATGCGGTATCCCAACTCCATATTTCCACGTTTAGCCCAATTCGTACATATGTGTTTCTACTGTAGTATGAGAGCACCCATGTTGCTCTGATAAACATTGCGTAGTTAACCTAGGATCTTTTTCGATAAGCTGCTTTAAATGATCCATGCCCGCTTCTGATGGTCTTCCGGTATGAGGTAAATCGTCGAGTTCGAATTTGTCATTCTTGAGCCGATGGAATCAACGTTGCACTGCGTGGATAGAGAAAGTATCCTTGCGCATCGTTCTACATTTGTTGCGCGTTGCTTCCATTGCTTTGCGACCCAAACAGAATTCATGAAGCAAAAGCGCTCGGAGCTCCCTACGTGATATCTCCATTTCTAATTCGTGATCAACATCCATATCCATAATTATGTTTTTGTTCGAAAGACATTTGCACCCTCTTGATGTTCTGAATATGAAAACTTCTAGAACTTTCTCGGATGTTCGAGGAAATTTAAGAAAAAAAACGGAAAAAATATCTTGTCAACCTAATAATTACGTTATGATTCTTAGGCAAAAAACTCTATTGAAGAAAAAATTAAAGTGCTTGATTTACGCCGCATAACAGTTCATTTTGAAGCATGATTAGAAGAACAGTATAAAAAAGTGTGTATTTTCAAAGCTCATAAATTTATACTAGTGGGTAGCTGGCCATAGTGGCTATACCACATTGATTGCCATAGTTGCGCATCATTTTAAGGTAACCATGATCACCCCATCCTGTACCCCATGA